TGAGGTGGGCTGCGCAGTTACATGGCTGGTGATTCATGCAAGTTTCTGAATCGCTCTTACAAAATATCAGCCTGAAATACTAACAATAATGAGCACGTTGTGCTTGGACTTGTATGTTATTGAAGGAATAGAATCTTAAAGCAGAATATTTTGTAAAATGAATGATTTTCTATGTTTATGAAAATACACTTCAGAGTGTATTTCTATCAAACCCATTGCATCAACAAAAATACCTTCTTTGTAAGGGAAAAAGGTATCAGTATTCTGTGAGAATACCTGACTTTTCTCTCTTTTCTAAGGGTTTAAGCTCCCATCTTTTCTCTGTGAGATCAGCTGACAACAGCAGCAACCAAATCATGTCTGCAGCTGGGCAATTACAGTAGACCCTAAGATCTGTGACTGTCAACCATGAACACAGATGCCTTCAAAGTTCTGTTTTTCTTCCATGTGGAAGTCGTTGGCATGGAACAGATGCCTTCATTTTGGAGAAACCAACCTCTGGATATAATTGGTTCTCTCTTCTCTTGTCCTCTAGGGACAGTCTCTTACAGATGAAATTAGATGAGAGAAAAAAAGACACAGACACACACACACACACATGACATGAAACAGGAGTCTTCAGCATTTCTCTAGGTTTTGCCACATGGAACTGTTTTACACTGGAAAATTTCCCTCTCTTTTTAGCACTCTGCACACATGATGATTCTGCTCTATGAAAAATATCGAATTAAAATGTCATGGTCAAAGTGTGCTATTAATTTAAGTATGGTTGTTTTGAAATAAGTCAATTATATCTGATCCATATTGCTTAGGTTTAAATGTGGACTTCTGCACCACTTACAGATGCTGCAGTGTCCCCCAAATTAAAATTTATCTAAAAATAAAGTGGCAGAAGAGGCAAGATGGATTTGTAAAATCCACACTTCTTTTTCAGTGATAGAATCAAAGTGTTCGCATCCCTTGGTTTAGTAGGTATTAACACAGGAGGAAAAAGTCATTTGTGCAGTAAGCAGTTCGCTTCAAATTTCACCCAGCATATGGACATTCAATTAGAGAGAGACATTTGGAGGAGCTTGGGCGGCTTGAGGGTGATGAGCACCTGCGAGGAGCCGCTGCTGGCGGTTCTGGCAGGGCAGGCTGCACTTTGTGTCCTTTGCTAGGGTACAGCAGACACAGCCTCCTCCTGGGTGCCTAAAACGGGGTGATGCTGCCCGGGGATTTATGAGTGTCTCTGCTCTGTCCCATCAAGGACCCTTGTTCCTCCCATAGGTGTAGCAGCTCCCAAACTGTTACAACTTGTGTTCTGGTGTAATAAAGTACATGAGCACCAGCTTGGGGTTACTTAATTAACTGACAATTCAGCCAGTGCTCCAAGGGGGTGGAGATGTCCCTGTGCAGGTGTGCGCTCCCATGGGAAGGCGGCAGCGGGAGTCTGTGGCGCGGTGCGTGCCGGGGCGCAAACTTCTGCCGCTGGTGCCCGCAAGCCTGAAGTGTGTCACCTCTGGATGCCTTCTCTTTCCATATTTTTCTTTTCCAGGCATAAACTTTGTGCTGTAATGGAAGAATCGGGTTTAGTCGCCAGGTGTGAAGTTTGTCTGGGCAGTTCAGTGGACTGGCTGCTGAACTCGGGGCCTGGGGTTGCTTGGATGTGCTGTGTCTTTGGAGGAGCGCGGGTCCCTGTAGCGCGTCAGCCAGCTGAATCCTGAGCTCAGGGCTCAGATGTGAATAGCGATTTCCATATTTCACGTGAGAAGCTTGTTACTAATGCAGTATTTGCAGTGCTGAAAGTTGAGCAGAAATGTCACCAACAATAAACCAGCAGGAGTTATCTTGGTCCTACCTCGATCTTGGTAGGTGCTTGATGGGATGCAATCTGCTTCTTAGATGCTTCATATAAATACAGAACTGTAATGTGCTGTGGCCCTTTATTCCTCTGGCACCCCGTAGGTGTATGAGTGAAGGGCATTTATTATTATGTACAGTAGATAGAAGGAAGCCCATAGGAAACTTAGAGTTTTAAACTGGTGACTTTTCAGCTTATAAAGGAGCGGGGAGAGTCCTTGGTATAAGACCCCAGTTTTGATCTGCAGAGCTTCAACACAACAGTTTGCTAGCATTGCATTTCTGAAGAACCACATATTAAGCTAAAGAAAAAAATTAGCTAGAGAAATGTTTAGGTGATGAAGGGATTTCTGGCAGTAACTAAGAAATACAGTAATGGTTGATTTCTTTTGAGGCTGATTCTGATATTTGTAGTCTTTACATCCTATTAGTTCTTTGAAGATAAGCTGATACAAGAATGATTTGCCAGGGCCAATGGCTCTTCTTAAAACCTTTGGCTCAGGTTATATCCTCCTTCTCTTTATATATAAGATAAAAGCTCTCTGAATATGAGGTTAACTGAATTCAAATAGAAGACTCTCTCGAGTTATTGCATTCCTTACAAAATAAATACATTTCTCATATGGTTGAGATTGATCAAAAAAGTATTCTGTATGCCAGTGATTACATTCCCATCTGTGATTAAGGTTTTCTGTCTGCATCTGGCTTTCACATTATATTTCTGTAACAAGAATCCTTTATATGGCAGAGTTCACTTTCTGTATTTTCTATTAGCTGCAGCTTGAACTACTGCACGGATCGCAGATTTGCACATGTGGTTTTCATTACTTCATACCATTGAGAAAAAGTAATATTTGTTTGGGAAAGTATGTTTTTCAAAATTTCCATGGTAATACAACATGTTGATCCTTTTCTATAACACTCTTGCAGGACTACAAATTGGTCGAGGCTTTCTGCTTTCAGTGGAGCTCAGATTTTAGACATTTTTGCATGTACATTCTAAGAACAACAACAGTTTACAAATCAGGAGGCAGAAATACATTAAAAAGAATAGGTTAGCCTGGAGTGGGTACGACAGAAAGCATCCATCACTTGGGAGAGTGTGGCATATAGAGAAAATGAACTTGGGGCTGAAACAAAGGAAGAGTAGTAAGTTAAAGTGATGTCTTCATTGGAGAGTGGACGACAGATGGGTACATTTTTTATTTTTTTTAAGCAAGATGCTCCAGAGAACTGGTTTCTGTACAGCAAGTGATCTAAAAATTTTTTACCAGCCTTGGAGAGGAGGATGCCGTTTAGTAGACACAAATATTAATTTGTGATATGTTACGTTATTTAACATATTTCATCATAATTATTTCTAGTGGCCAAATTAGTAAAGGTTAGCAAAACATGAATACATTTTTACAGATGGCTGCTGTATGTAATTCTGAATCCAAAATATGATGTTAATTTAATGTTCCACTGTAAATCCATATTTCAACCAGATTGTGCTGTCGTCACTCAGGAGAAACTTAATGTTTAAATGATCTCAGTGAAATTAATAGGGGCACTTGGTCAGTAAAGTCTGTTTCAGGAATGGTAGTGGCATGAAATTCTGGCCATGAAAATCAGAACAAACTGTAACAACAATTTAGGAAATATTGTATGCATTTGTGGAAATGTAAAGAGTTAAACAAAAGTTTGAATGTTTTAAAAACATATATAATTCCTGATCAGGCACAACTGAAATGTAGTTTTTATTGCCTATGTGTGAATATGATGACAACTACAGAGTTGCACAAACAAAAATAGAAACAATTTTAGAAAAGTAATTATTGTACCCAAGTTGGAGGATCATAACCATGTTTTGGAGATTATTTTCCAAACACCAAAGACGATTGTATCCTATTAAAAGTTTAACAGTTGCCAAATGCTGGGTACAGTCCTGCAGTCCTTGCGTGCCCCTCGTTTTCATTGCAGTCACTAGCACTTGGGCCTGTGTCGGGGCTGCAGAGACCAGTCCAAGAGCCTCTTTGCTACAGAAAGGCCTTAAAATGGTCACGTCCTTTGTTCTGTAGCCTTAGCATGTAAGGTTTGTTTGGATTTGAGGAGTGCTTTTGAGGGGAACAGGTTTTGGCCTAGATCTTCGAGCCCCTCCTGGATGCCACCCTGTGCTACGTGCTCTGGGTGTCCCTGCTTGAGCGGAGAGGTTGGACTAGATGATCTCTAGAGGTCCTTTCCAACCTCAACCATCCTGTGATTCTGTGATGTGAACGTGGTCTTGTGAGAATACCCTTGGGTGATAGATGCATTTTTTTGCACTAGGATCCAGTCAGGGTGAAATTTGGGCCGTGTCCTCGGTTAGATGCATGCGGCTGCCCCCTCATCCCGGCGCATGCCTGACTTACTGCCCCGTGTGGCCCGAGCGGGATGTACCGAAATGTCCCTACCTGCATGTGCCTGGCGCCCGGCACCCGGCTGCCTCCGTGCAATTCCGAACCCCGGGAAAGCAGAATAATGGCTTGGAAAACCCAACAACCCTAGAGTGCAGCCCCATGCTAATTATAAAGGCTTTGCGTAACCGAAGTAAGCTTTTTGAATAGATCTTGGAGTAAGAGAGAAGTTGCCTTTTCAAAAGTGGGTTGGTGATTTGTGGCTATCAATACCTTTCTGATCTCCCTTTATTGAAACTGTTTGCTTTTCTCTGACTTACAAGTATGAAGTGGCATAAGGTTGTGCAATTAAAAGGTCTCTATTTTTAGTGTTTGTTTAATAAATTGTTCTCTAGAGCCTCTGTTGATCCAGGTAAAGTATGTGATATTTTATATTAACTTGTTTAAAAACAATGACTTTCTTGAAAATTGGTAATAAGGTGTTCTCATGGCAGACTACAAGCTGCCCTTCCTTTATTGCCCTATATATGTCATCTTCTTTAAAGGGGCACCTAATGAAACAGGCTTTTGTCCTAGAATTAATACAGTTTTAAAGTACTTCCTTATATTACCTAAGAAATTGTGGGTAATTGATTTAGACTGATAGCATTTCTGTCTTCCTTTTTGTATTTAAAAGATTACTGTTCTCATGCAAATGACAGGGTGTGGTGCTGCAAACTGCCTGTGATATGTGCTTTTTTTTTTTTTTTTTCATTTGTTGTTGTCAATAGAAAATTTATCTCTCGGCTGGTGAAGGTAATATCTGTCCCAGTCAGAAAAGGAAAGAGGAAATTAGCAGAGCCATTGGTGGAGAATGATATCTGTCAAAAGAAACACTTGGAGAGCACTGAGTTTAGTGATAGGTGACTGCCGGAAAAAAGGGAGCTTTGAATTTTGTCAAGGTAAGGAACAGCACAATGTTTGACTTTGTAATGTGCATACCTTTTGGAAGTTGTTTTTAATGCCTGTGCCTTGCCAAGTAAACTGTAATTAAAAAAGAAATCTTTCCCTTTAGCCTCCAAAGAGCCTTAAATCAACCAAGGTGTTGTCTTCATTTAAATATCACTGAAAGCGAGTACAGTAATAACAATAAAATCCCTCAGTCATGACTTCTCTTTAGCTATGAATACATCTGTGTGTGAAATTTTTATCTGTTTTCTGTTTTTGATGACGTGGATGCTGTTTATCTGGTATATAAACATTATTTAGCAGAGTTGTAAAAATAGTATGAAATTCAGTTTACTGAACTGTCTATTGGAACAGTATTTGCAAGCAGGTTAAGGGACAGTGATAATTTGGTTTGCAAAATGGTGGTGTTTGCAATTCAGAGGAAACTTCTGTTAAGCTCACTGCATTAGGAATCTTGGTAAATTTGATTGAGATGATACTCAGAATAGATGTCCTGGTTTATTATATGGCAAAGCCTTTACCACACTTGAAAAGTACATCTGCTGCGACAAAGGAGAACATCTAGTTAACTTAGAACTGCTAATGCTTTCCAGTCCTTTGGTGCTTGCTCTTCAGTTTTGGGCTGTTCAGGTAGTTTTGGAGGCTCCGAGGCCCCGGCCCTCGTGCGGTCCCCGGCCGAGGCTCAGGCTGCAGGAGGCTCCGCACGGCCCCGCCGGGGGCCTGGTGAGAGCTGAGGCTCCGAGCATCATGTGAACATTGTTCAGAAAATAAGATCCTATTAGAAATGAATTTGGAATGCAGATCTAGCTCCTAGCTCCATTGAAACAAGCAAATTCTTCTCTGGGATCTTGCTGCACAAGCGCAGCATTGGGAAAGAAGGAATGTTCTTAGCAGAGTTAACTCTACTGGTTTTATTTTCCGAATGTAACAGTAGGTATTTTCTGACTAATTTTTCTCTGTTCGTCTGTCTACTGCCCCCTTTACAAAGTGCAGTGGAACCACGTATAAATGACTGTTGGTCCTTTCTGTTTTTCTGTCTTTCTGTTGTCTTTCTGTCTTCCTTTCTGTCTTCATAAACCATTTGAAAACTAAGTGAATAACAAAATAAGGATTTTGTGCCAGAAGCATGCAGTGACAGCATAGTAATGGTAAACACACTGTGGTTTATTGCTAGCAGAGAGCCTGCAAGATAAAGTGCTATAACTTCAAAGAAGTGCATGTTTTCCAATACTTTTTATTTCTGTTAGAAAAAGGAAATGGGTATGACTAGAATTCACGTCATTATTAAAGCCCAAATGGTGTTGCACTGGTGAGATGTGCATGAAGAGGGGAGAGCCGCGTGGTCCCCGCTGGGCAGGTCAGGCTCCCGTGCCACGTGCTCGTCCGCGTGTCCTCCCCGTTTGAACGGTGCCCTGTGAGCCCCGGCCCGGCGCAGCCCTATTAGTGTAGATTTATAGAAAAAATAGCACATCCTCTCTGTAGGACAACTTGCAGAGTTAACAATAGGAGCATGGTTTTCATCTTGGCAATGAAGGTAACCTGAAATTGCTTTGTAGCTGTTTAGAAAAGAGCAAGTGGCTGATGTGGTTAGCAATTATTAGCTCTTTGGGCAGCCCCTTGTGGTACTTGTTTGAGGACCTAAGCCTGGATGTAGGTGTTGGTCACACGATTGCAAATTTTGTTAAATAATCTTAAATGAACAGCAAGCTCCACACTGAAATTTGGATGAATAGTGTGAACTCCTATGTGTGTCTTTTGAAATCCAGTGAAAAGCTTCTGTGATGTTGCCCCAGAATTGCTTTACCCTTTATACGCAGAGCAACTTTCAGCTCCCTTCCCTGGACAGATTTTGTTCTTGCTGAGATTGGAAGACACCTTCTTTTTGAATGATGCGCTCAAAGCTGCATGTTTCATTAAAAACTGAGATAGGTCAGAGCTGAAATTTTCTCACAGAAGTGTCTAAAGTCATCTTGAATGAATACGGATTGTGCTCTGCCCCAAAAGATTTGACTTACTGTTTGAATCCAAAACTGAATAAAAGGCCAAATAAAAGGTGGTTGAGCCTATGGCCTCTGTAAAAGCAATGGTCTCCTGTGACATGAGGCTGCCTTTGCTTACATGATCCCTTTCATACATCCTCACCCCTGCTTTGCTGCTGCAATGTCTTTTATTTTTCTCTATCTCTTTTTTTTTTTTTTTTGTAATCTTCATTCCAATTGTTTGCTTGCATATTTATCTTAAGGACTACAGTTTAAATAATAACTCCCCCCCTCCTCCTAATACAAAGCAGATGCAAAAGGGTTCTTAGGGACGAGTGTATTATCGACACAGGGTTGTCATTACACCGCTCACAATCAGATTTTCATCTGTTCATGTGGTGCACACCTGTGGCTCGCTGGCATTGCTCTTGATTGGAGTGTGAGAGATCTTAATGAAAAACAAAGAGTGGATGACAAGAAGCGACTCTGCGGCACACACGGGTTACTTCACACGTCGTAAGAAAGTGAAATTCTGAGTATGCTGGTTTTTGAGAGAACACGTTGTGATGAGAGCATGTGCTTGTGGGGCTTTGCAAGGAGAGCCAGGGGCTTGCTTGTGGCTGGCTTGCAAAAAATGCATTTTTCTCCGCGGGTCAGGTTGAATCAGAGCAGCTGAGAGTGGTGACCGTTTTCTTCAGCTTACTTTCTGAGCCAGTAAGAATATACTGGGCAGGAATCCAGCTTTTGAAGTACAAAGAAAATAACCTATAATCTATATAAAACATTGGCGGATGGGGAAGAGAGGAAATTTGCAGAGAACAACAGAGGTTGAGAGTGACTGCGTTAAAAGGAGACTAGAAGAAGAGAGGGTGCACGACATTTAGTTATTTTAATCTGAAAATACAGTCTTTAAAACCTCGGAGATGAACAGACTATCGGCTCTCTCAATATGATATTTTTATTAGGAAACTGAAACAAAGCACTTCACCGAAAGCTGAAGTTCCCTTTTCAAAGCGATTTTCTGAGTTTGCAGAGTTTGGTTTTTCCTTTTTTTTTTTTTTTCCCTTGGTAATAACTGTGGCTCTGATAACATTAATGGGCTTTGCCCCACATGGCGCTGAGAGTGTATTGTACGGCTGCTCACTGATCCCAGGTCAGTGTGATGCGTGAAATCAATTTATTTGAATCTCTTTGCCTGTATAGGAATTTGGCAGTGTGCCAGTTGTTTTCATTTAATGCTCTTTGTGTTGAACACAGACAAGCAGGCAGGCTTTTGTATTCCTCTTTCTTTTGGTCTCTCTCTTTCAGCCAATATTCTATTCTGTGGATTTGCAAAAGTAAGAATATGTTACCTTTTTTTTTAAGAAATCATTTTGTTTAAATAGTATTTAAAGAGCATAGAAACTGGGTCAGGCACAGAGCAATCTGTGTAGGGTCTTTACAGAATAGAGGTGGTAACACCTGTCTTTCCCTCTTTCTTAGCTTTCAGGGGAAGGAAAAGGGGTAACACTGGGCTATTTTAGTAATGTCTACTTCTATGATTTATATCATCTTGTAAGACAAAGACTCTCCAGCCTTGATTAAATCAGCATAATTTTGTTTTTAAATAAATGAATCTCTGGCAGTTGGTTGGATGAATCAGAAAGACTTTTCAGAACCTTTTTCATTTTAGATAATGACCTTAATGCAGGCTTTAATTTAGGAGTCCCTTGGGGCACCTCTTCTTGCCTTCTGTCCGCTCCCTTCCCCCAGTCACTCAGTATTTCGATCGTATTCGGGAACAAGCCTTTCTTTCTTCTTTCCTATTTTTTTTAAGACCAAGCAGCAAGGCATGTGGAACAGAGCAAGCAAATAGGGAAAAAAAAAAAAAAAAAGGGAAGGAGAGCAGCAGGAAGATGTGTTGCAGAGCCGGGCGAGGGAGCAGGAGCGCCGCTCCGGCGAGGCTGTTGATGCTCCGGGCAGTCCTTGCGGAAGCGGCTGCGGAGCCGCTGCGCAGGGGTCAGCCCCGAACGCACCGGCCCCGCTTCCTTGTTTAATTACCTGAAGAGCAAAACATCCAGGCGGAGCGTGTGTGAAACGCCGGTATCTGGGGCCGCCGTTCGCCGCTCCGACATCCTGCGAGGCCGGTGCGGCGCGGCCCGCGCGTCAGGACCGGTTCCTGACAGCGGCCTATCTCTGCCGCGCCGCGGTTCCTTCCATTCAGCAGGCATTGTGTGCGGCAGGGCTGGGTCAGGAATTCGAGGTTCCTGCCGGTTCTTCCAGCCCGGACAACGCTGTGACAGATAGGCCTGAGGTTTTTTTTTTTAAAAAAAGAATAATAATAAAAAAGGCCCTTTTTAGTCCTTCCCTTGTAATTCTGGCATTGGCACAACAGTGACTAAAGCAAACCCTGTTAACTCTTTGGTTTGGGAATTCACAGTGTTTTCCTTTCACCACACTGTTCCTTCTCCCCTTGCTTAGCCTCCTTGATTTGGAGAAGTCTTCCGAAGAGCAGGTTATTCTGTGTGGTGCTTATGCTGTACAGCAAATAAACTTTAAAAAAATGTAATAATCCTCGTCTCATTAGTGTAACCATCATATTTGGCATTTTAAGTTTTTCATTCTCAGCATGCTTCTCCACATTATTTTTATTCACCCAAGGCGGAACAGACACGGCCTGTTAAAACAGTGGTGGCAGTTGTAAACACTTCTATTCTGACTGTGATTTTCTTAGCTGTCCAGTTTGGTGTTCAATTCTGAAATATTGAGTAGAGTCAGTTGCTGTCCTTGCTCTTAGCTACTGTTTGCTGAAATAAAAAAAAACTACACTAAAACCCGAAGGAAGTTTCTCCGGAATAAGGCTGTGGTGGTGCGAGCGCTGCACCATGGTGCTCAAGTACGACAGGATCGAGGGGCCGTGTCCCCTGCTCAGCAAGAGCCAGGTGGAGTTTAGGCATGAGTAAAACTTTGGCCCTCACACATGTAAACTGTCCTTTGGATGTAGAATTCCAGGTACACGATTATAGCTGAAGGAT